GAGTGAAAGTACAAGACGTTGGATGTCTTCCTCTGGCTTCCTGGGGGAGGAAGCCATCCCCAAAGTTCTACACCCTTGAGACACCGGGCTTCTTTATTCTGAGATTTACTTCCCATAACCTCCCTGTGTTGGCCACCTCTGCACGATCCAAGATCCGCTTTTGTTTTTCCTCTGCATTCTGTCTGAAGTCACTGAGCCGCAGCTCATGATGAATGCCTATCCCATGACTTCTTGACTTCCATTTGGAGGGGTAGAAAAACAATACTAGTATTTATGGCTAATATACTTAAGGTACTGCAGGAAAGCACAACAAGGCAAAGAAAGCCAATGAGTTCTGACAATAAAAGAAATGAAACTATTTGGCAAGCTCGTTGGGCCTCAGCTGGGAGGCATTTGGCTCAAGCAGAAGTCATCGTTGCCAGGCTAAGTCATGGCGGTCACGCTGATGCGTTTATAATGGCAAAGTTGGTTTTTCAATCCACAGAGCAGAACCCGGAAATGTACGCATCGCCCCTGACAATGGCCACCTACAGCTTTCACTCTCGTTGGGTATCCGGAAGAAAGGAAGCTTTGTCCGTGTGCGTGCCTACGGACCATGGATCTTCTCTATGTCCCCTACCCATTCCCCTTTGTACTGATGTTACAACGGCAGGGAGAATGTAACCACGTACTGCCTTCATTCTGACCCCACCTCTCCCACATCTGATTAGATAGATCCGCTTCTTCATGTCGTCCTCACAAAGACTCTTCCTACTCTGGGCCAACAAAGGAAGGCCGAAGGAAGGAAATAGAAGGCCAAGATGAGAGCGGTCAGCAGGGAACTGTATGTAAGTGTCTCAAACGGGGTGGGGCTGGAGGTGGGGCTGGCAGAAGCTCTGCTCGGTGCTGAGCTCCACAGAGCTGACAGGGTGGGGGAAGTCAACCAGCCTTCAGAACACACAAGTGCCATTTGCAGCAGTGCAAACAGCCAAGGGTAAATGAGAGAGGGCCAGGCCCACTTCCCTGCCCCAAGGTTACAACATGGAGGAGAAACATGCAGGGAACAGCTCTAAATGTGAGGGTGGTCCCACAGAACACTCAGGAGATGGGCAATCAGGAAAGACTTCTAGACCATTCTCACACTTGCATACATTCAATTTCCTAGGGATAAAAGCATGGGTTTCTATCAATAAGCCCAGGCTACCACTTGAGCCTCTATGCTTTTCTTTTCCTTAGATAGTATCTTGTATTTCTTGAGAATATTCATACATGGATACAATGTATTTTGATCAGATCCGTTCCCTACTCCACCATTCAACACCCCCCCCGCCCGCTTCACAGCATCCTCTCCCTCCCAAATTCATTTCTTTTTTTACTCAGTGAATTTAATTAGTGCTACCCATATGTTCAGGGATGTAGAGCCATCCACAACAGCATGAGCAACCTACCAAGACCCATTCCCCAGAAGACAGCTCTTCCTCTTCCCTAGCAGCCCCTAACTGCATATAGCTCCTCAGCAAAGAATTCAATAATGACCAGTCTGGCATGACATGCCCATGGGCACAGTAGTGGTATGAATGCTGTGGGGGTAACCAACCGCTTTCTGCTTGAGTTTAAGTCCGGCTCTCCAGGAATGAACTCAAATCTGGTACTACAAACATAGATTAAAAACCAATGGCTGGAGAGGTCATAAAAGCTGGGAGAAAGCCTACTACTATAAATGTGCTAAATGGATATAGTGTAAACTGCCTTCTAAATAGTTTTCTTTATCTCCATGGGTTGACACAGCCTTCAGCCCTCATCCCTAGCCAGATAATCTTCCTTTTGCAGGGGACAGCAGTTAATACAGAGGTTTGCAACTGGTCAAAGAACAGGGGATACCCACCTATGGAGTACTCAGCCATAAAGGAGACATCCGTATCAAATCTCTGCCTCCCTCAAGGCTCAGGAAAGCCAGTGGAAGAGAGGATGGAAAGGCTGTAAGAGTCAGAGGCTGGGGAGGACTGTGGCAAAGCCTTGTCTCCCAGACACGACAGGTCCATTGCACACATGAACCCCCAGCATCCATGTCTGCCTGCCCCCATGATACCTACACAGATCAAGGCGGTCACATTCCAACATGGATCAGGGAAGAGCTTATGAAGCTTCTGTACTTTTCAGGGGCTCCTTCGTAGAACAGCAAAAACTGTTGAGCACAGGCCACGCTTCTAGTAGCAAGCTTTGGGAATGCCCCTTGCCTGGCACTTTAAGAGCTGATGATATTTCCCTCAAGGGAGCATGGGTGATATTCATTTTTGGAAATAACTGCTTAATCTTAACCACATGAAATCATAAGAGATTAAAACTTACAACTTCCTTCAAGTAGTTCATGAGTGGAGATTAAGTTGGAAATAAACTTTTAGTGAAGATAATAAAAGCCTAACGGAATGTTCACATTATGCATTTCTTGACAAGAAACCAATTAAACAGCAAAAAGGTATGAGTTGTATGTTTTCTTGTGCTGTTATTTTCAATTGTAAGGTTAAAAAATCCTCAGTTAGTAGTCTGTGAGCTCCATGAGTCCAGAGGTCATGCTTTTTATATATAGTTTCCTACCTAGTATCAAAGAGTTGTTGAGCCATAAATATTAATAATAAATGCAAATCATAATTTTCTAGCATTGATTGTATGTGTTAGTACCTTCTTATAAAGTATCACTTAAACTACGTAGTAGCATGGTTATGTAGATGTTATAGGAATTTGATCCATTTAAGCCAATGGCATTTGGAGTGACTAGCCCTATGGGCGTGGTTTTCTCTGGATAATATTGAGGAGAGGGTAGTGTGCTCTCTCGCTCTCTCTCTCTCTCTATCCATCTATCTATCTCTCTCCCTCCCTCAGGTGGTCAGAGCAGGAGCAAGCTCCTTGGGCAGAATGACAAGACAACAGCAGCTGGATCAGCAGTTGCATCTGCCTTGTTCTGTATTCATGAATCTGTTTTTCCTTTACACCCTTAAGGAATTATTGACCAGACTTTGTGTGTTCTCACTTCAGGTAGATCCTACAGTTATCCTCAGACTACAGCCACGGAAACACAGGAGCATCTTTAGGTACACCAGAGATATTCACCTAACTATCCAAATATATATATATATATGTATATATATAATTGTGTCATACAGGTATTAAAGGAATATGTATCAAAGGTTAAACTTTCTGATAAGGGGATCAGTTGAAGTTACAACTAGCTCCAAAAGAGTCAGTGCCACACATTTATAATTGGATAAAAAGAAATGAGTTTATAAGTGGCCTTAAACTCAAAATGCAAAACTGTTCAACATCTCCAGGGCAATATCAATTGCATTTTACCAAACTCAATTTCCTTTTAATAGATGAGAAATATTTGCATTCCTCTAAGCGTCATTATAGAGCTCTGAAATCACAAGGCAAAAGCCCACAAAGGCAGAGCTGGGGTTGACAGAATGAGTCAGTTGGTACACCATACACTTCCATTTTTACAATCATCATGATGGAGGTCACGTCACAGTTAACTCTAAGCGAAACCAAACACAAAGAGATAAACACGCAGAGGGCACAGCTCCATGGCATTGTGGGAATATCTTTAAGTTCTGAAACTGTCCTCTTAGCACACAGTCAAAGCATGAGAATGGTCGCATGTTTCTAGAACATTGATCTTCCCAGAATGGAACAACAACAAAAATTTCAGGGAGCACTCAAGCTTCGTAGACATTGCTTAGCAGGGCTTCCTATTAGCTATTCTAACATCAGACAGTCTTTAGACTTTGTAGTTAGTATTTTAAAATGCCTGAGTAGCTGATAAATTACCCAGCATCAGCACCAGCATCCTCCTGCATTTACCACCTACATTAACTACTTAACCACAAACAGATGTGGCAGAGCTCATCAGGTCATCTCAGCACTGTCCTCATACAAGGTTCTAGAGATTAGCACTGTCTAACTCTACTGACATGGCTATGGTATTTAGGGTCAAAGCCTTGGTAGGTGCTGGGACTTACAAACTATGCTATGATCATGAAGGCATATGAGCAAAATAAAAATCTAAAATACAACCAATGTCAAGCTTGTTACTCAGACTTGGGTACCAGAACCATAGGCTAACAGAGCCCTCTGACATGGTTGCTATTTTGAAGCATAAAATCCTACATCTGTGTCTCAAGGGCTGCTTTGGGGTTGATTGTAGCAAGTATCTGTGTGGGAGTATGGGTGCCTGCACTGGTACGCAGGAGCAGATGTGACAGAAGTCCCTCCTATCCACAATGGATACATTCTAAGACACCTCCTCCCAAAAGATGCCACAAAACACAGACAATACAACCCTGTATGTGCTGTCTTTCCTCACACATACATACCTATGATAGAGTCTGATTTGCAAATTAGGCAACTAAATATTAACAATATGATGATGGTTCTACCTCAATAGTAAGAGAACTTCCTGATTTTATTATTAAAATGGAAAACATATACAATATGCTGAAGGTGAAATGTGGGAGCCAGGGGTTGAGTTTGGGGTGGTTCTCTTCCATCACTCTCCACCTCACTTTTGGAGACAGGGTCTCTCGCCTGGAGCTTGTTATCTCTGCTAGACTGGCCAGCAAGTCCCACAGTCCTCCTGTGTTCACTGCCAGAGCCAGGGCTACAGGCATGCACCCAGCTTCTACATGGGTCCGGACGACCTGCACACAGGGCCTTGTGTGTGTGCAGCAAGCCATGCTCAGCCTAAAATTCCCATCTATTCTGTGCATCCTAACACACCATTCATAGTGTCTTACACAACGTCTTCCTCGAGGTCTGCCTCGCTCAGTCTCTCCAATGACCCCCACCATGTTCTGTAGCACAGCGTAAGTTCAGAGATCCTCCAGAGATGCCAACTGGTGTCAGCTAGTAAAACCAAAACTGCCCCAAAGTTGTGTCTCTGGAATTGTCCTAGTTGGGGTTATCACAGCTATGGTGAAACATCATGACCAAAGCAAGTTGGGGAGGAAAGGGTTTATTTGACTTACACTTCTGAATCATTGTTGATCACTGAAGGCAGTCGGGACAGGAACTCAAGCGGGACAGGAACCTGGAGGCAGGAACCAGAGGCCATGGAGGGGTGCTTCTTACCGACTTGCTCCTCCTGGCTTGCTCAACCTACTTTGTTTAGAACTCAAGACCACCAGCCCAGGCATGGCACCACCCACAAAGGGCTGGGGCCCTCCACCATCAATCACTAATTAAGAAAACGTTCTACAGGCTTGCCTACAGCCCAATATTTCAGAGGAATTTTCTCAGCTGAAATTCCCTCCTCAGATGACGATGGTCTGTGTCAAGCTGGTATAAACTCAGCCAGCACAGTTAACCCCTTGACAACTTTTTAAAACACAGCACTTTTTAAGACATAACCTTTCCTTTCTTTTTTGTTGTTCACCCTCAAATTCTAAGGCTATTAAACATGACAAATATAAAATGTATTACAAACTTAAAAGTCCCACAGTCTTTACCAATCTAACACTTTAAAAGGTAAATCCCTGTAAAAATCCAAAGTCTTGTTTAAAATCCAAAATGTCTTTTAAAGTTTCAAAGACTCTCAACTGTGGGCCCCTATAAAATAAAATAATTTTTAAAAACTTAAGAACTTTCTTACTTCAAGAGGGAAGGCCCAGGGCACAGTCACAACCTAAACAAAGCAAAGCCACACTCCAAAGTGTAAATGATTCAGTGTCCAGCATCTGGGATTCACTCACCACTCACGATCTTCTGGGCTCCTCCAAGCTCCAGCTCCGCCCTCCGCTGTCTTCCAGGCTCTGCTGGCTCCACTCCTCTGCTGCTGCTGTTCTTGGTGGTCATCCCATGGTACTGGCGTCTCCAAACATCTGGGGTCTCTGCTGCAGCTGGGCTGCATTTTCACCAGTAGCCTCTCCTGGGCTCTCTTCATGAGGCAGAGCCCCAACTTCTCTCCATGACCCCTTCAGTCCTGAGGTTTCCACTGTTACCCCAGCTGCACCTTCACCAATGGCCTCTCCCGGTCTCGCATAGGGCCAAGCCTCAGCTGCTCTCCGTGACCCCCACCTTCAAAACCAGTACCACCTGCATGGCTCTTACTCAGGACCAAGTTCAGCTGCCAGCACAAGGTACAACCTTGGTCACCTCTGAATACAGTTCTGACTCTGAGGAAACGCTTCCCGGAAGATGTCACCTCGGTGATGCCAATTCTTCAGCCCCCAGCTGACCAGCATCCATTGTCCCAGCAAAACAAAGTCTACTTTAGCAGTTCTGGTCCCTTGTTTCACAGCTGATTCTCAGCCCCAGCTGGCAAGACTGCCACAGAAAATTTACGCAAATAGCTGGTGGAGTCTTTGCTTCCCTCTGAAATGGAATGTGCCAGGCCTCCCTCACCCATATTGTTCTCAACGTTCTTACCTTCAAAGCTCCTACAGAACAGCCCACTGAGCTCTCTCTACATTTAGTGGCTTTTCCAGCCCAAAGTTCCAAAGTCCTTCCACAGCCCTACCCGAAACAGTATGGTCATGTCCGTCATAGCAAATCCCCACTATGCTGGTACCAATCTCTGTCCTAGTCAGGGTTATCATTGCTATTATGAAACACCATGATCAAAGCAACTTGGGGAGGAAAGGGTCTAATTGGCTCACACTTTCAAATCAACTTTCATCACTGACGGAAGTCAGGACAGGTATTCAGCAGGGCAGGAACCTGGAGGCAGGAGCTGATGTAGAGGCCATGGAGGGTGCTAATTACTGGCTTGCTCCTCATCGCTGACTCAGCCTGCTTTCTTTTAGAACTCAGGATCATTGTCCCAGGGATGGCACCACCCACAGTAGTCTGGCCCCTCCCCCATGAATCACTAATTAAGAAAATGTTCTACAGGGTTGCCTACAGCCTGATATAATGAATTTTCTCAGTTGGGTTGAGTTCCTACATCTTAGAGGACTCTAACCTGTGTTAACATAAAATTAGCCAACACAAGAATTATCTTATAAAACATCCCCAAATAGATTTATTGTGGTTTTGTGTTCATTTATAACAGTAACAAATTTAAAAGTCCGTTTTAGTTTACAACTTTTTTGAAAAAAAATGTCCTCCAGTCTTGAGAATTTCATACATGTATATAATGAAATATAATTATATATACCCTTGTTTCCCCATACCATCTCCCTCACATCCTTCTCAAGACATTTCCTAACTTCCTGTCTTTTATAACCCACTAAGTCCAGTTAGTGCTTCTCATATCTGCATGGGAGTGGGGCCCACACTGGAGCATGGGAAACATATAATTTGCCATATACTAAAAAAAATTGTTCTCCCTCTCCTATTGCCCATTGCCAATAGCTCTTCAGTAAGGAGTGGAGCCTAGAGGTCATCTCCCCCACCTATGCTGTGATTCTGTCTGGCTTGATCTTGGTCAGGTCCTGTGGAAGTAACCACAGCTGCCATGTGTTCCTATGAGTGTGGACAACCACGTCATGTCCAGAAGACAGAATGTCACAAAACCACACTTATCCTCTGCCCTTTACATTCAACCTCTACATTTTTGACGATATGTTCCAGAATGCAAATGGCAGATGACAATGCTAAGTCTACCATATGTGTGATATGTTGTATATGTGTGTGCACATGTTCCTTTGTGTGCCCACACATGTATGCATGTGCTGGCCAGAGGCTGATAATGGGCATCTTCCTCGGTCACTCTCCACCTTACATCTTGAGACAGCATCTCTCACTGAACCTGAAGTTCACTGATTCATCTAATGTAACTGGCCACTGGGTCCCAGAGACCCCCCCCCACACACACACACTTCTACCCTGCCAGTACTGGGGCTCCAGATGTATGCTGCTACCATTCGCTTTTCCTTAATAGACCAGGGCTGGGGATTGAACTAAGGTCTAAGAAGCCCTGTGCCCTGGGCTTTCATGTCTACAGCACTAAAGAGTGCTATCTGCTGCTATTCTAGCTGTCTGTCTACAGCCGCCACTCTGTTCTCTGAAAAGAAAAGCTAGACACAGAACAGCTTCTCCACAGCTGGAGAAGACTCGAGGTTGGCTGTGTAGTGCATGGAATACAGACTCCAAAGAAGGAAGAACAATGGTTAACATTCTTAGCATGTGAGACCGTTTCGAACAGCACCCACTAAGCACATCCATAGCCCAGGAGAATTTCTCATCTCTTCATGAGGACACAAACTCATCTGCCAGGAGTGACTTCATCTGCGAAGGCAACCCTTACAGTAGGAGTTCAGACTCTTTTTTTTTTACTCTTTTTTATTTAAATTAGAAACAAGCTTGTTTTACATGTCAATCCCAATTCCATCTCCCTCCCCTCCTCTCCTGGCCCCCACCAACCCCGCTAATCGATCCCCTTTCTGCTCCCCAGGGAGGGTAAAGCCTTCCATGGGGGATCTTCAAAGTCTGTCATTATCATTGACGCAGGGCCTAGCCTCCCCCCCCATGTGTCTAGGCTGAGAGAGTATCCCTCTATGTGGAATGGGCTCCCAAAGTCCATTTGTGTACTGGGGATAAATACTGATCCACTACCAGAGGACCCATAGATTCCCCAGGCCTTCTAACTGACACCCACGTTCAGGGGGTCTAGATCAATCCTATGCTGGTTTCCCAGCTAGTAGTCTGGGGTCCATGAGCTCCCCATTGTTCAGGTCAGCTGTTTCTATGGGTTTCTCCATCCTGGTCTTGACCCCTTTGCTCATCACTCCTCCCTCTCTGCAACTGGATCCCAGGAGTTCAGCTCAGTGTTTAGCTGTGGGTGTCTGCTTCTGCTTCCATCAGCTACTAGATGTAGGCTCTAGGATGGCATATAAGGTAGTCACAAATCTCATTATCAGGGAAGGGCATTTAATGTAGCCTCACCACTATTGCTTAGATTGTTAGTTGGGGTCATCCTTACAGATCTCTGGACATTTCCCTAGTGCCAGATTTTCTTTGAATCTATAATGGCTCCCTCTATTACAGTATCTTTTCGTGTTCTCCTCCATTCTTCCCCTGACTCAATCTTCCTGCTCTCTCATGTCCTCCTCCCCCTTCCTCTTCTCCCCTTCTCTTTCTCCTAATTCCCTCTCCCCTCCCTTTATGCTCCCAATTAGCTCAGAAGATCTTGTCTCTTGATGGCTAAGGATGTGGAGTACTTTCTTATGTGTCTTTCAGCCATTTTAGATTCCTCTGTTGAGAATTCTCTATTTAGTTCTGTACCAGGAGTTCAGACTCTTAAGGCAATACAAACTAGATCTTACTGGTAGAATTTCCATATCCACAAAACAGTTTTATCTGTCAGTGACATACTTCAACCCTGGCTGACTGCAAGCTGCTCCTTGCCTTTCTTGGCATTTCTGCTTTGAGCTGTCTGCATGCCTGGGCCCAGAACAATGATGTCACAGTAGCCTATCCTGGGGTCCATCAGTCTGGGATGGGCTTCTAATGTAGTTGGGCCCAAAATATTCCAGAAATGAAACTGGTGAGCTTTGGGGAGCCCTCAGGCCTACACAGTGAAATTAGGGGGGTTCTAAAAGAAATGGGGCCAAGAAAACCTCAAATAAGTAGGCCAGAATGCTACAGAACAATGGGACAAAGACTACAGTAGTGTTTACAGCATGAGTCTCTGAACCCAGTCACCCCCGAGGTCCAGCTGCACTCCACCTAGAGTCACCTCAGAACCAATGTCCAAGCTTATTCGGGCTAAGTTCACATCGCTTACAACCCGAAGAAAATTCATCCCAGCTGCTGGGAACCTCAAGCCTATTAACACTGAAAGTGGCATCTCACTTCTCTTTACAGAGAAACAAGCGCCACCATCTGCTACAAGCGACATATTTCAGGCAGAACTTCGGAACTTAATAGTAACCCAAATTCTTCTTGTTAGATATATTCAGTGAGAAAGAAAATTAAAGCTATCTTGGTGCCTTGGGGGGGGGGGGGGGGAGCAACTACCACACAACCTGCTACTCACAACAACACAGGCTGGATTCTGGCATTTATATTTTAATTTTAGCAAGTGAAAAAAATTAGAGACAAGATAGAGTAGTGTGTGTGAGTGTGTGTGTGTGTGTGTGTGTGTGTGTGTGTGTGTGTAAGAAAAGATGGTCAATTCGATACCAACTAAAATGAAGGTACCAAAGTTAGAGTTAAAATAATTCCAAATATCCAAGGTCAAAAGAGGTGAAGACTGATTTTATTCACTCACTTGGGAATTTTTTAAAAATATCTTGATGATAGACAGATAAAATACTTCCTGAATACTCAACAACTTTTGCAAAGATGAGAGTCCCAACTGCCCAGCTTGGGTCAGAACTTGCTGAGTAGATAGAGCCAACCGTATGAAAGATCTCAGATGAGGGCTGAAGAGACACATGGAGACAGGTTGTAAGGGGTAAAGAGTTTATTAGATGAGCAACTCCGTCTATATTCTCCGTATAGACAAATGGATGTTTTTTTCATAGCAGCATCACCGCAATCCAAGGCAAAGTCTTGTCAGATGTAGGTTGGATTTACAATGAGACATGCCAGGCGGGAGAGATGCTATGGCACGCTGATAAACAAGCTAAAATAATGCCGTTTGTATGGTATTTGTATACTGGCAGCACGTAGATCATTCCAGAAATCAGCCGGCATAAATCCATCATGAGCCTGCCCGGAACTACCATCTGCATGCTGAGCTCTGATCCCCTCAGATTCGGTTAGGGATGGTTAGTGGATGGCTCTCCAGGCTCAGCACAAAGGCCACTTCTGCTTCCATTCAGCAGCCTTGACATTTAAATCTGTCGCCAGCAGGGCAGCCTCCTCCTGATGGCAGAATTCCTTGTGTTTTTGAGTCTCAGCTGCATATTTAATCATAAGACGTGTTCATGGGAAAGCAGACAGGAAGACTGGAATGCATTCAGTATCTCCAAGAGGGACAAACAAAGAATGTGGCCCCCTGGGGTTGGAGAGGTGGCTCAGTGGTATGGGCCATTCACAACTGCCTGTAGCTACAGCTCCAGGGAATCTGATGCTCTCTTCTGGCCTCTGTAGGTACACACACACACACACACACACACACACACACACACACACACACACACACACACACACACACACGCACAGTCCCACACAGACACGCATGCATACATAAGAGTAAAAATAAAATCAATCTTTCTGTAATGTAGTGCCTTCTTGGAAATGCAAACGAGCTGACAACTTGGAACCAAATAAAGACAGAGAGAGGGAGGAGAAAGGAAGGGAGGGAGGGAGGGAAGGAAGGAGGAGTAAAAGGAGTAGAATTAGATAAATAGAAAAAGAGAGCCAGTGACATAGCTCAGTAGGTAAAGGCTCTTGCTACCAAGCCTGACGACCTGAGTTCGAGCCCCAGAGCCTGCACAGAGGAAGAAGAACTCACTCCTGCAGATTGTCTTCTGAGCTCCACACAGGCACCATCCTCCCCCAACCCCCCCCCACACAATAAATGCAATTTAAGAAGAATTCAATAACTCCATGCCCTTTCCAGAAAACAATAAAAAAGGAAAAAGAAACAAAAACAGAAGTAAATAAAAATGGAGAGAAAGCAGTAGAAAGAGAACAAAAAGGTACTTGTGGTGCTCTTGGGTTGGTATAGTCCATCTTAACCCAAGCCCAGACTGGTTTCCTGCCATGGAGAACAAACAAGGGGAACGCTCTGTG